CTATTCAAAAACAAATATATATTTATTAAAATTTTAGTACATTTTTTTAGTGTATATATAAAATAACTTTAAAATAAGTGACTTGGCGCCATCTGGCAACAAAAGTACGGAGATTCTGCTCAAACTTTCGGCTGAAAAAAATCGATTCCACCCCTTGCTTCCACCCTTTGCTGTTTCCAACTCCCATTTCAGCACATTAGTTTCCAAGGGAGACACGGAACATTACCGGATATCGTCCCTGGACAGTTTGCAGTTTCTCTCGTAGTTTGCCAAATGGTGATTAAACAATCAGCAAAAATTGACAGAGGGTGAGATAGCAAATAGAAGAAACATTGGATCAACGAAAAAGTGAAAATAGCGGAAGTAGAAGAATAGAGAAAAGTGAAAGCGAGAATAAATAGAGAATACGATTCTTTTAATGATCTACTTTTATGTTTAAACTTACTTTTATGCTTTCCTTTTCTTTTCCTCTTTTATCCTTTCCTCATTTTACGTCCGCCTTACAGAAATGAAATATTAGCAATAATTTAATGTTAATCAATTTATTATTAAAAGATACAATAGTAATTAATTACTTATTTGGAGCTTATTTAAGTACTTACTTATTTAAAAGTACTGAATAATAATGCTTTTAATACTTAAAATAAATTATTAGTTTCTTTCAATATTAAATGGGTCAGTATTAGAATTCTATAAGAGTCTCGTTAATTAATTGCTGAGTACTTTTTCTTCGATAGATATAAATCTTGCTTTTCTTTAATATTAACTTCTTCAATAAATCTTCACTAAAGAGTTATTTCATTAAGAAAAAAATAAAATTTGAAAAATACATAAGGAAAAATTATTCCAAGATTTTTTTGCCTAATGACATACATATTATAAATACATATTATAATATATTATCACACACAAAGTTAATTATTTTATTAAAATTTAAGAATATAGATAGAAAGAATTAAAAACAAATAGCTATGTTTTTTCATAAACTATGTTTATTAAATAATTTTTTATTGCAGATCTAGTGAGGACGATTACACTCCTCTGGAAAATGTTGACCAAATTCAAGTTGACGTTCTCGACCAACTTCGTGAACGATTGGGATCGGAAATAGATATCAAACTGATTTATCAAGACGAAGTACAACAGTAAACAGTTTAAAAAAGAAATGTAACCTTTTCCTTTTATCCTTTAATCCCTTTTTATGGTTTGTCAAATAAAATAATAAATATAATTACAAAATGTAATATATATTTTATAATTTCACTGTCGCATGCATAACCATGTGACAGACTCGTAATATGACGTAATTGATTTGTAATTACAATTATTTGTGAAATAAAAACACAAGCAAATATACTTTCTTCTATTAATTACATAAAAATATACAAGTTCAGAGAATATTTCCGTATTTATTTATTTTTTTTCATAGAATTGTTCAATGAATTGGCGTATAGTAGATAAATACAGCGTATAACAAGGATAGCTGACAGAAATTTTTATTGGATTAAGATTAAATCAATACTGTGATTAACAATTTTAAATAATATGTACAATATATTATAACATATTTAAATTCATTCGAATTTCTCTCACATGTACAATCATGTACCTTTATAGATTATAAATACTTCAGACAGTGTTATCTGAAGCATCACGAACCTCTCACAGATTCGTAAGCATTTTCGTAGATCGTAAAGCAAACATGATCAAGAAGGGACGTGGCCAGTTTTTGATCACGCTATGGCGATTTACATGTTTAAGATCGGTACCACTGGTCCACTGGAGGGATACGCACACAATGCCAATATGAAGGTTGCTGCTTTTTTTTGACAGCGAAAGTAGCCCCCTACCCTCTTTGCTGATCTTCGTTCCACGAGTCTCAGATTTGCATACCTTGGGTCCGTTTCCCACACGTCTGAACAGCTTCCATCTCATCTCAGTCTCTACTCTCTCGCTTGGCATCTCTCACTCTTTCTCGCCCTTCCTTTCTCCCTCCCTCTCTCCCTTCTTCCAACGTTCTGCACAACCCTTTCAGTTGCCGGTGAAGACAAAAACGCGGGAGTGCCCAAAAAAAAAAAAAAAAAAAACGAACGTCTCCTTTCTCCCACGATCGTGACGTTTCCTGAGGCTGTTCTCAAGACGTGTCTATTGTGGTGGCACACAACGAGCTATGGAGTAGTCGCGGATATATTTTTTTTGCATATACCAGTTTGAAACGATTGACGGAAGCGGAAGACGCGAGCACCCGTATAATTCGTTCAGTCTAGGTCTTTATTAAACGTATTTTAATATCATTGACACTAATGAATAGTATTAGTACCCCTTTTTATATATTAATTATTTATCTATATATATATATATATTTAAACTTTACTTCTTTATAATAAAAATATAGTACAATCTTATATAAAATATTTTAAAGTAGAAATATTGTATCGTAAATGTATATTTGTAAAATTAGGAAGATAAAATGTTTTCCAAAGTATTTATTAAATTTCTGTTTTTATATTATTTATTTATTAATTTCTTATTATTAAGTTTAATTTATTTTTTGAGAGAGACAAATTAAAAAATTTTCCGAGATATATTGAACACTTTGTGCTTAGATGTGGACAAAACATCGGAATTGAATATGGAGAGGCCAAGATACATGCGGAAGTGCGGTCGCGCGATTAAGGGGCGAATATTAAAGAACAACCGCAGGGAAAGAGGAAAGAGAATTTACGAGTCGCCAGCCTCCCAAGTAATGATTGTCGTTAACTGCCGCGTCGTACGGGCCGCTCGTTCGGCCTGCAGTCGAGACTTTTGTATGCTAATGACAGGGTGGTCCGATTTCGTTCCTACGACCGAGTAAAAAATCTTGGGGGTCAACAGACCCATCGTTAGCCCAACTTTTAAGTCTCCCTCGAGCGTCATTGACCTCGAATTAAAAACCGGGTGCGACCTTCCTGCCGACTCCATCCCGCCCGGAAATTTTACAAGACTCTCGTTTCGTAATGTAACACACTTCCACTTATTTATTTTCGTCTCTTAGACTTTGTCTCACGATCTTAGATTTTATGAATTGAGAAAACAAGATGTGAGGAAGATCAATTAAGACTTTTCCAAATTTCTTATTTTTAAAAATATATATATATTTCTTCTTTCTCCACTCTTTTTCTCGGAAAACGTAAATTATATTAGGCTTTTGTGATTATTTCCTTAATTAATACTTCTTTTATAGATAGATAAATTTATTTAATTCTCGAAAACATAATTCCTTTGGATACACATAGATTCTAGAATATAGGTACTCTTTTATCCAGTCCCCTTTTCATTTAAGTTTTTATAACGGACATACAATGTGAATCTTTTAACACAAAAAATAATATATATTATTTAATGCAGATATTAAAGAAATCAGTTAACAAAGTGCTAAAATTTTCAAGACACTAGTATGACGCGACAAGATAATAGAATTAATTAATTAGAAATTCTAATCAATACTTTTGTCATCCGAGTAAACGAATGTAAATATTGTCCTAGAGCACGTAGACTCTTTATAATTCACAATTTTCTCTTCTCTCTCACGGTCGTTCGCATTTCATTCATCCAGGTGACACCGTGTCAGTGGGTTCTAAGGGAATTATTCAAAACCAGCCCTGACTGGCAAAAGTGCAGCCGCCCTGGAACTGTAATCCCATACCCGTATCTAATCTGCATAAAAGAGAAGAAAAAACGTCGCACAGGAAAAAAACAAAAGCGCGCAAGAATTCGCCCGATAGGCTTTGCGAAATAAATTAACATAGAACAAAAACTGCTGTACTGACACTGACAAAAAATCTGTTGTTGTAAGATAATAGACAAAACTGTTAAAATTTTTTGAATTATTAAAAAAATTTGTCAATGAATCAAAACTTCTGCAATTTTTTTATACCCTTTTATTTTTACTTTTGGCATTATGTTTAATTGTTATAAATACTTACACATTTTTAACTATCTTTCATTGGTTTCTTCCTCTTGTTGTCTATCTTATAATATTTTCATTAAAATTCGAAATTGTATTTTATCAATTTCATAATGATATTCAAGTATCCAGCTTAATACAAAATTTGAGAATTACGTAGCGCAAAAAATCAAGCGAACTATTTGTACTCGTACAATTGGCAGCGGTCGCGGATATCAATTAAAAAATCTTGATGACATTCAGTATTTGCCGCGAAGTCGGAATAGTGGCACGACCCAGCAGGAGTCCCCTTCGAGGAACATACTTACCGATTATGCGCGTGACGAAAGAGATCTTCAGTCGAATATGCTAATGCATGCGACGGCATAATGCGAGGCCGATACGCCAAGCCGAGGCAAAGCCAATTATGATGGCGCGGGGACCCATCATGCCTGATACTCCGTTTTACACATGGGTCGTCCTCGAAAAATCTCTTTCTTTCCATCCCTGTTTCTCGACACGGTCTCGACAAACGTAAAACGGCGAACGAGACGAGAGAAGGCACGAGAAGAGAGGGCCGCATAGACAACGCCATAGGCGGAGGCCTGCACCATTGGCCATTGTTCGAAAGTGCTATTTGTATTTATTTGGGTACCTTTGTTCGAGCCTTGAGAGATTCATGAGGCAGAAGGTGGGGCGAGAGCGGCCAAAGAGAAAGAGAGATGAGAGAATTTATTCGGAGAACGAGGCAAAGGGTGAGAGAGGTCCACTAGTTGTTACGGGACTACTCTACGTTTCGGTTGAAAAAAAGCAGTGGAAAGCTTTGACCCGTATCATCAGTGCATTTAGACTATTTAGACGACGATAGTAGAATTAACTGGTAACCGCGAGTAGCAAGTCACTATTTACTTTTTTTATCTTAATAACGCAGCGCGTTAGTCAATAACTTTAAAGCAGCATCTTCAGAAATATTATATTAGGTATGTGATTTGGTCACGTTCTTTTATTGCTTCACTGATGAATACAGCATGTCTTACAATTGTTACCGTCTTCATCTGCGCACATTTTGAAAAAGTTGGCAAATTGATCAAAGAGCTTTGCATATGCATGAAAGAAGTTGCGATAATTTTGAGACATTGTGAAATAAAAACAACATGATATAAAGTTCTGAAAGTGCAAGTAGACCAAGTCACAAAATATTTGTCTTGTGAAGAACTAAGATAAAGTTATTATCGCAATGCGTTGCAAAAATCGCAAAATATGATAAAAGTAAAATTGCAGCAATTAATCATGTATGTATATACATTTTAAAAACAATACTTTCAATTTACTTTTGAAATCGATAATAGAACTTTTAAGCGGTTTTATCGAACTTAAATTTGATTTGCATATTTAATACTTTTAAGTACTTTTACTATAAAATCATTAAAATTAGTTACGTTAATGGTATCGTATTTTACAATTTTTTTATAATTCGCGATATTTTTTTCTTCGTTCGAATAAATTTTCGAGAATAAGCTTTACGTAGTTGAAGGTGGGCCGACCGGATTCGAACATCCAATTGCGAAAATGCGTTCGTCTCGTCGGTGGGGAAACTTCGCGTGCTTGTTGGTGCAGTGTGCGATGAGATGGCCCAGTGTATGTGTGTGTATGTGTGTGTGTGTGTGTGTGTGTGTGTGTATGTGTGTGTGTGTGTGTGTGTGTGTGTGTGTGTGTGTGTGAATGCATCTCGTGCAGCGGATGCAACTGCGAGTGGTCAGTAGCTCGCAAACCGAGTGACCGCTCTCTCTCGCCGTGTTCCGACGTGAAAGTGGCGCGCGAGGGGGGAAAAAAAACAGAGCCAGTTTTCGCCGCATAGTGAACTTTTTTAATTGCATTTCGCGCTCGAAATGCTCCTCGAGTAAAAATTCATCAGAGACAGATGGACCTATTCGGACATACGGATGTTGTGAAAATAGCAAATTTACGTGAGTTGTAAACGAGGCATGTCACGATAGGCATATATGAAAACAAGTAACATAACATTAGTGAGAACATTGGTGGATAACTTGAAAGAAAGTTGATATTATCGTAATGTGAACGTCGTGTGTTAAGTTGAATAAAATGTGAAATTATATATTTAGATCTTTATATTTGTTAATACTTAGAAATTTTGAGTGAAAAAAAGGACTGAAATTTTTTTTTGTTCAATATATATTTGAAAATATACGTACATTACACATAA